CTGACTGACCCCAGGTACCCCGTTCCTGGCAAGGGTCAGGGGTGTTGGGGGGCACTGGGAGGGTCCCTGGGACTGTAGGATGGCACGGGGACATGGGGACATGGGGACATGGGACTGCAGGAGGGAACGTCCCCACAGGGACACGGGGACATGGGACACCAGGAGGGGCATCTCCAGCTGAGTGACCCCGTTCCTGGCAGGGGTCAGGGGTGTGGGGGGGCACTGGGAGAGTCCCTGGGACTGTAGGATGGCACGGGGACATGGGGACATGGGGACATGGCACTGTAGGAGGGAACGTCCCCCCAGGGACACGGGGACATGGGACACCAGGAGGGGCATCTCCAGCTGAGTGACCCCGTTCCTGGCAGGGGTTAGGGGTGCTGGGGGGCACTGGGAGGGTCCTTGGGACTGTAGGATGGCATGGGGACATGGGGACATGGGGACATGAGGACATGGGGACATGGGGACATGGGGACATGGGGACATGGGGACATGGCACTGCAGGAGGGAACGTCCTCACAGGGACACCAGGAGGGGCATCTCCAGCTGACTGACCCCAGGTACCCCGTTCCTGGCAAGGGTCAGGGGTGATGGGGGGCACTGGGAGGGTCCCTGGGACTGTAGGATGGCACGGGGACATGGGGACATGGGGACATGAGGACATGGGGACATGGCACTGTAGGAGGGAACGTCCCCCCAGGGACACGGGGACATGGGACACCAGGAGGGGCATCTCTGGCTGAGTGACCCCGTTCCTGGTGGGGGTCAGGGGTGATGGGGGGCACTGGGAGGGTCCCTGGGACTGTAGGATGGCACGGGGACATGGGGACATGGGGACATGAGGACATGGGGACATGAGGACATGGGGACATGGGACTGCAGGAGGGAATGTCCCCCCAGGGACACGGGGACATGGGACACCAGGAGGGGCATCTCTGGCTGAGTGACCCTGTTCCTGGTGGGGGTCAGGGGTGTGGGGGGGCACTGGGAGGGTCCTTGGGACTGTAGGATGGCACGGGGACATGGGGACATGGGGACATGAGGACATGGGGACATGGCACTGCAGGAGGGAACGTCCCCACAGGGACACGGGGACAAGGGACACCAGGAGGGGCATCTTCAGCTGAGTGACCCCAGGTACCCCATTCCTGGCAGGGGTCAGGGGTGATGGGGGGCACTGGGAGGGTCCCTGGGGATGTGGGACATGAGGACATGGGGACATGGCACTGCAGGAGGGAATGTCCCCCCAGGGACACGGGGACATGGGACACCAGGAGGGGCATCTCTGGCTGAGTGACCCCGTTCCTGGAAGGGGTCAGGGGTGTTGGGAGCACTGGGAGGGTCCCTGGGACTGTAGGATGGCACGGGGACATGGGGACATGAGGACATGGGGACATGGGACTGCAGGAGGGAATGTCCCCCCAGGGACACGGGGACATGGGACACCAGGAGGGGCACCTCTGGCTGAGTGACCCTGTTCCTGGTGGGGGTCAGGGGTGTGGGGGGGCACTGGGAGGGTCCCTGGGACTGTAGGATGGCATGGGGACATGGGGACATGGGGACATGGGGACATGGGGACATGGGGACATGGCACTGTAGGAGGGAACGTCCTCACAGGGACACCAGGAGGGGCATCTCCAGCTGACTGACCCCAGGTACCCCGTTCCTGGCAAGGGTCAGGGGTGTTGGGGGGCACTGGGAG